CGAATACTTAGTCTGTTTCTGATGTTTCATCTTGTTTATATAACTTTAATAATGTTCTGTTCTTTTCCTAGCTTTCCGGAGCAACACCGCCGAACTATAACGCCAGCCAAACCCAATTCCAGACCACGAACGAAGTTTCCGTGGTCGGTGCTCTGGTTTTATCTCCAATCCAAGAACTCGAAGGAGGCTCTCACAATAGCACCCTGTTGCCCAATTCTCCAAGCACTGCTGCCTTAGCCCAAGCCGTTTTACAACCGACTCTTCAATCAGCAGGCCTATCCACGATCCCAGTGACAATGCCAGTTTCAGTAGCCGTTTCTCCGATGGCTCTGCCAGTGTCCATAGCCCAACTAGGCTCTTTAGGTTTGGTCACCACGACCAGTGCTCCGATTGTGGATACTGTCCCTAGTAAAACTCCTATGACTATCACGGAAATTACAAGTTCTAATTCTGATGATAGCGGGAATGGTAATGACAATGCTTCTGAGACGGGATCTCAGAATAATGCATTGAGTTTGCAAGAAGGTGAGAGAAGTAGGAAGACCAGTGCGGTTTCTCAGAAAACTCCGAAATCTGGTGAAGTTTATGTATAAAACACGGATTGAGGTAATGTAATTTAATACAATTTTAGTACCAATGCTGAGATTCATAGGCAATATTTTTGGTCAGACAATGAAAGAAAATATTTTCTGATGTTAATAACTTTTAAGCGAAAGTATGAAGATCATGACTATAACCTTACATTCACTATAAGTGTTTATATCATCAATTAAATACTTTACTGATAAATTATACAAATCAGATACCAAATTCAATGCCATATTGGCTAGTGATTTTGATCAATATTGTTTAAAATCACATGAAAATCTTATTCGGCAACTGCGTTAATGCTGTTGTGAACTGCATGTGTTATTAATGTTTTATAGGCAAATTTTTATTAAATCATGGATAAAATATCTACTTTGAAGTGTCATAATATTAATTAGAAATATTAAAAATGAAATTAAAATCATGTTAAATGTTGAAAATTTTATTAAATACTTTCTAGAGTATTTGTTTATAAATATCCGTCCAAATGCGATGAATGATATAATTACGGGAAATAAAAAACTTTTAAAATAACTTATCAGGTTTGATGTAAATAAGCTCTAAAATATTATACATAATTTTTGGAAAACTTTATACGCGAAACTCAATTAAAATCAAATTAAACGAAAATTATTTGAATTATCTAGGGCTTGTTGAATATTTTTTCCTTGGACAAAATCGTAAATGTTTATATTGAATCTCTCCGAATATGTGCCTAAAAATAAATAAATCTAAGGATGTATAAAACAAAATTAGATTATAAATCATAAGTATAATTTTAATATTCATATTATTTATATATGCCTGCGTTGTACGTTCAGAAAGTGATAATGAAGTGTCTTTGTGATATATAGAAATTTTAGTACATTGTATATAGCTCACAAAATGATTAGATGAAGTTGGGACAATCAATAATATGAGAACATTTAATAAATGATAATTTTGCAAACTGTGATTTGCAAATTTAACATGTTTATGTATAAGTATTTGGGATGATTTATGGTTAGCCACAGTCCAGAGACAAATAAAAATTAGTTATAATATTATAGTAATGTAGAATTATATTGTTTAAGTACAAAGTGTTTAATAAGAATGTTCAAATCTGACGAAAAAATTGTGCAATGCAAAATGGCTCATGATTTTTATAAAAATATCATTTATTTGTATTGTATAGCAATTTTTAATATTTATAGATATAATATAAAGAAGTACCATTTAAGCTGAAGGAAGACCATTCTTGTCATATTTAAAGGTATTACGTAGATAATTTTAATAAATGTTTTAAAACTATAATAAAGTGTATAAATATATTTATTCTGCGTTTATGTCGTTTGGGTAAAGATTGTCGCCATTCATATGCGCTTTTAGTAAAAAGGGCCAATATCATTGAAAAAGATAACAATACTTGGCTATCATCTGATTTATTGTCAGATATAGGAAAGTTCAAGCACCTTGCTTTGATGCGACTTGCGACATGTTAATAAATAATTTTGCTGGAAAATCTTGCTACCCTAACATATGAGTTTAATTTGTTCTGTAATCACGTCCGTATCTCGAAGCAATTTTTTCCATATAAGTATATTGATATGCCATGAATTCGTTTCAGCACTATGGTTTTTGTTAAGTTTTTTGAATATTAAATATAAATTTAATATTTATTAATTTAATTATTGTGGTGCACTATCCATTCATGATATTGCGAAAATGAGTTAGAACTCATTAAAATGGCTTATAAATTATTGTAAGGCCTTTTGCAGGATTTGTACCCTTGATTAACTCCTTATGTTTAAACACAGTACAATAACTCTCATCGCTATCCTCATATTTTTCAATAAATTCACCCTTTAATTCAAGAGTCATGGACCTTTTCTTTGGACCCATGGTTATAAAAGTAAATAATATTTTGTAAATGTACAAAAATCAAAAAACGCGTATAAAATCACTAGTAATGTATGGTCGAAATTTCAAACGTTCAAGTAATCCTCGATATATTCGCTTGGGTTAATCATTTCTGCACAAATATAAAAAATCCTAAAAATTGCATTTTCTTTATAGATTCAAATTTAAAAAAATAGTAGTTTATGGGATTGTGCCTTAATGCAAATTGCCGGAACTTACCATGCCATAATTTTAAATTTTTAAAAGCTCAGAAAAGAAAAATTAAGTTTTCAGAAAAAATAATGAATTCTTTTGAACATTTTTGAAAATTTGAAAAGCATTTGAAAATTTTGAATATTGAAAAAAATGCCTTTTTCAAAATACTGTTTTTTTTTTAAGTTTAAAATTCTGTTTTTAGACCGCCCAATCGCATTTCTTTAACCTTTTTTCTGGATCTCCAAAACCGCTAGACCTACCTTTGCAAAAACTTTATCATTTCTTCATTATAGTCCAGTGATTTATTAAGCTTAAATTAGGTAAGAATTTCGCAATTCGAGATACCCAGCTGTAAGTCTGTAAATATTGTATATCGACACCCTAAAAGTTGTCTCAAAACCTACATATGTTGTGTACACCCTACCATATGTAAGTTTTGAGACAACTTTTAGGGTGTCAATATACAGGTATTTACAGACTTACAGCTGGGTATCTCGAATTCCGAGGTAAACTTATTATAATTACTGGACTATTACGTCAAGACAAGTGTAAGGTTTCTTGAATCATTCAAATCGGATGCTCCATTCTCTCAAAAACTGATTTTCCAATTTCTGCACTCTTTGCTACGTATCTCTGAAATGGCTGGACCAACTTTTGCCAAAGACTAATTAGCACGGCTCCTCATCAATAGAAATCGAATGCTTTTTGGATAATTCAAATCGGTTGAGCGATGGTTCCGAAAATGTCGACAAAAAAGTGTATCCATGCATACATACACACTTGCACACAAACACACCTCCATTTTTTCTTAGGTATTCCAAAATGGAAATCTACGGGATGTTTAAATTTCAAAACAAAAATATTTTCAAAAACCGTGCAAGATCGAAAACGCGTAAAACGAGTACCATGCAAAACTTGGAATAGGTGTATATATGTGTTTGTATTTGTGTGTGAGTGAGAGGGTAAATAGTAAGAGTGAAACAAATATAGTTTTTTATTTATGACCGCACTGCATTCTTTTGCACTATCTTATTGAGAGAAGTTCAGGTTGGACGACTGTCGAAATTTGTGTTAATTCATTTGTGTTTTTGCATTTGTGCAAAAATATGTGTTAATAAAATATTAAATACGAATAGTGATAATATATATATGAATATATATACGAATAGTGAGTTAAATAGGCAAAACAGATAATGTAATATTATTATTATGAACATTTATTGAATGTATAAACAATTTATCAATGTAAAGATTGATCAATATCAAATTTAAGGAACAATAAAAAACAAGATGTCGGACCGGCCTATGATTTGAATTAAAATCAAAGATGAATGCAAATCAGTTGTTAAAAGTGAAAGATAGTGAAATGTTGGTGATATCGACATAAAATTAATGAAATTAATGAAGAAATTTAAACTGTGTTCAATTTACCAAATTCAATAAACGACTTGGAGTTCACGTACCAAATGTATAGATTATTACTAGTTTTAAAAATACTATTAAACAAAATTTCACAACGTCATTAACTTATAAAATTACATAAAAAAATCAGATTTAAATACATCAAAAGTTTCTAAATTAATCGAAATCTACTTCACATTCGTTTCCCAATAAACAAAATGTCGCGACCGTTGATTTATCAGTGCAAGTGTTTTAAATAAAAATTTTGACACTTTTAGAAAACATTGCTTATGAATCAAATTTGAGTGTTTATTGCAAATAATTACAGAATCATTAACTGCATTTGAATTTTAGTGTTATTTACTGTGAAAAAGCTTCTGAGGTAAGTGAAATTAACTAATTTTTAACTATAAAATATAAAATTTTTATATTTGACAGCCCAGATGTCATATTACATGTGTGGATGATAAATAACATTTCTTATAATTAAAAGAAAGCATCAAATAAATTTGTGAATCCATTTATTAGCTATAAAACAGTTCAATATTACATATTACTTTGTTATAAATATAAAATAATGATTTGGTCTGGTATATCTATTTTACAAATAAATTTACAATTTCTTATTGTACACGTCAAATCAAAATCAAAGAATGCATGCTAGTAAAATTGCAATTTCTCAGCAACCCTTAAATTCAAATCTAAAATGATTAAAGCTAGTATTAAGTATTAAATTATTTTTTTTAAACTTTCTTTTGGAAAACATATCTTCAAAATATTAAAAGTTATAGTAAATGTCTTTCCAAACGACTTAATAATATAACATTGCTTATATTAAATTAATATTAAGTGGAACATATGTACTTACATAATGACTAAAATTATAATGAAAATATACAAAACAAAAAATCACATTATTAATGTGCAGATTCTATGTGTCGTTTCAAATGATGTTTCATTGAATAACTCTTCCCACATTGGTTGCATTCAAAACTATTGGAGACATTAGGTAATTCTAAGTCGTCATTTTTATGACTATCCTCATGATGCTTTACTAAAATATTATAACTCGAGAAAAAGATTTGGCATCCTTCACATTTGAATTTAGTTGGTACATGATGAGCTCTTCGACATTCTTGGTACAGTTTTATGTCTTCTGTCATAAAACCACAAAAATCACATTTCCATATTCTTGGAGCTACCCCATGTCCATTCAAATTGTGAGAATCAACATGTGCTTTTAACTCTTTTTCTGTTTTGAATGATACCCGGCAAGGATTGCATGTATAAAATTTATTTGCAGGAGCTGGAGGCTTTACTGGTTTCATTACTGGAACTAGATTAGGTATATTCATATGTGGAGACACAATTTGAGCACCAGCTTGGGTGGCATTCTGCACAGTATTGTAACTAACAGCATTATTAGAAATAACATTTGCAGCGTTTCCAGTACTCTGTTCTGGATTTTCGACTACTCCATGCATATGTGTTCGCATGTGTGATTTTAAATTGTCCTTTCGTCCAAAAAATTTTCCACAGATACAAGGCCATTGCCGTAACTTTTGCTCCTTCACAAAATTATTAATATGATGAACTTTGTGCTCTATCCACTCAGATTTCAATTGGAATGTTTCATTGCATTGATTGCAGGCCAACCTTTGAATACATTCATAGTCTTGTTGGCTAATTTCCACTTCTCTTGATTTTGATTTTGTTCTATGGTACTCCATTACATGGCGTTTATAGACAGCAATTTTGCTGAAGGTTTTATTACAGATTTTACAGTGAGCACCAGTTGGTAACTTGGGAACTACTTTGAATTTTGACATGAAAAATTTATTGTTGTCCTGAGAAGCACCTGCTACTGGGTATTTTATTTTCTTAACAACTTGTCTAGAAGGCGATAATTGATTGGGAGTCCAGGCATTTGTTGATTTTCCTGAGCCGGGAGATTTTCCATCGGGTGTTCTCAAGTGCCATCCCCTATGGGATTTCAGAGCATTCACAGTATTAAATTGTTTCGGACATAAATCACAATTCCAAGGTCCCTCCTGTTCACTGTGTTTATCAGATAATTCATGAAGAGGTGGAAGCGGAGGTGGAGGGCTTTTATAAACTACTTTTGGTACTGTTGCAGCTGTTACTTCAATTTCCATTGGTAAATTCAGATGCATGGTTTTAATGTGTGCAAATAATTGTGGTTTCGTAACAAATAGTTTTCTGCAAACATTGCATTGATTGGAACTTCCTGGTATAGCATGATATTTCTTCTTATGGTACCACATTTTTTTGGCATCCTTTGCAATGAAATTGCAAATTGAACAAACTCTGGCATGTTTGGAAAAGTGTGCTGTCAATCTGTGTTTGTTTAGGTCATTTTGTGTCCTGAAACCTGATAGTCCGCATTGACTACAGAATTTATCAGATTCAGAAATCCTGTCATTTTCTGGTACTACTTCTTCTTCCCTCTTTTCCTTAATCACCACATGGCTTTGCCTGGCATTCGGATGTGATGTTCTTTTATGCCTTATTACACCTCTGGCATTCATGTAACGCTTTGGACATAAATCACAGCGATAAATGTGTTTACTCATATCAGGTAACGGCTTCTTATGTCTAAATAGCATGTGCTTCTGCAATCCTTGTTTGGTTTCAACATGTTTATTACAAACATTGCATCGAAAGTAATTCTTTTCTTTTGAATTAGCAGATTTTTCTGTTAATACTGATTGTGTCACATTTGTATCACTGAACCCATCAAACATAGGTATTTTACCCTCATGCATTTCCATATGAGCTGCATACTCCTGCACTCCCCTGAAAGTCTCTTGGCAGATGTCACAAACATGTTCAACATCATTTTCTGATACTCCGTGTTCCACCATATGATCAGATAATTGTTTTGCTTGAGAATAAGAATTACCGCAAATATTACAAGAGTAATATTTAACTTTCAAATGCTCCTTTTTGTGTAAGTCGAGTTCTTGCTGATTTTGGAAGGTTTGTCCACACTGTTGGCATGCTTGGTGTATTTCCTGGTGTTTTGTCCAGCCTTCTAGTGTGGCAAAAAGAACTCCACAGTCTTTGCATGAGAAATTATATTGCAACTCTTCGCCTGCTGCTTGTGACGTTAAACAACTTGTATAATGATCGGTTAACTTGGTTTGACTACTAAAAGTTTCGTTACAATTTTCACATTTGTATGGATTATTGGAATTATGATGTTTTGAAACATGCCGTACCATATTGTGGTAAGTAGAATAAACCTTTGGGCAAAATTTACACTTAGTGAATTTCTGTGCAACTTTTTGACCAGTAGTACTATCAACAGATTCATTTGCTTTCCTATCATTGGTATTATTTGCATGTACAAGTGTTGCATGTTCATTGAATGGTTGCAAACTATCAAATTTTTCTCCACATAATTCACATATAACATGAGTAGTACAATCGCAGTTCTGAGTATGCCTTCTTCTAGACTCTGAATCTTCAAATATTTTTTGACAATATTGGCATTGTACTGGATTTTCCAAGGGATTCTTATCCGTCAAATGTGTTGCATTCAAATGTTTCTTGGTCACAGCTTTAATCCGATTTGAGAAATCACAGAAATTACATGAAAACACCCGGTACATCAAAGCATATTTCAATGGTACTTTGTCAGCTTTAGGAGCAATTTGTTCCTGGCTTAATTCAGCATAATCATTTTCAATATTTTCAACGGGATTAATTTCACCTAAGGCTACCTTTTGTTTATACAGCGCATAAACATTTCTGCATTGGCCCATTTTCATATGTTGCACATAGTCACTTCTATTTTCACAAGAAATCAAGCAGTTGAAGCATTGGTATGGTGGAATATCAGTTCTCTTTCGCAAATGTGCAAGGAGTAGTTTCATTCTGGAATAGGGTCTATTACAGCAGAAACATCTCTTGTCTTGAACACTCTCTATAACATTCTTGTATTTTTGAATATAAGCTAAATTGTCCTCAGTCAAGTCCCCTTCATAGTTCACCATTGAGAAATCCATTGAAAGTGTCTCAGACCGATCATCATCAGTATTATCCCCGATACTTTGATATATATTTTCATTATCAACCTCCATTAAAATTTCAGGTTCCATAACAGATTTGGCCTTTGCATGATTCATCATTATTTCTGGATTCAAGGGATTTGGCTGTAATTTATTTCCATAGAAATTGTGCACGTTTTTTTCATGTCTTCTTGCATTACCAGGAGATACAAATTTCATACCACAAATGGTACAATCACTTACTTGTAATAATTGTCTTCGTAATATTTTTGGATCTGAATTGCTATTGTCATCACAAGAATCTGTACTACCAGCTGGGCTCATTTGGTACATATCACAAATATCTAAGGGCGTCAGATTCACAACTGGATTTTTCATTATCTGTAAATATATTATGTAGAATCTGTAGATTATAGGTGTAATTTCTTTGATGATAAATAATAGTATCTATGACAAAATAGTAACACAATTTCCTTAATCCATAAACTTTTGTAAGAAAAAAATATAACTAACAATCACCTTATTCTTGACCAATCCCTTTGGTGCAAGTCCCAAAGAAGCCAAAATAGCAGGAGGCTTTGAGTGGTTTGATACATTTTCTTGTGGCAATCCCATTCCAATATCCGGAACAACTTCCAATATCTCTGGTGTATCATAATTTACATAGTTACTGGTAATGGATTCAATTTGAATGCTGGAAGAGTATTCTATGTCTTGAGGCTCACTTTTTACTGATACCTAAAGAAATTTAATGAATTAATTTATATTGTGATAAAAAAAATCCACAAAAATTTTTATTATTTATATTATGATCAAAACTCTTCATTCGCATATCAGAGTGAATTTTGGATAAAAAAAATTTGATGGTATTAATGACCTGAAATTCTGATATACTTTGAATTTTAGACAACAAAATATTTAAAAAGAAATAATTGAATTTCTGCTTTATATACCATTCAAAAAATATGTGAACAATTTATTCTGTCTAATAATATCAGAATAGCAAACTCTATGCTCAATAAGTTCTGAACATATTCTTTTTAGGGGGCGTCCATTAATCACGTGAGGTTTTTAGGGGGAGGGGGGTTTGACAAAAAATCATGAAATATCACGTGGGGGAGGGAGGGGTATAGCAAGATATCACGTGCATTTATTTTTTTTACTATTTTTTATAAAAAAGTTCAAACAATTTTTAAAAAAATTAAAAATTATACAGTTTTTTCACGTAACTAAAAATACACGTGATGTTTGGTTGGGGAGGGGGGGGGGTAATTTTGAATATCACCAAAAATCACCAAGGGGGAGGGGGGGTCCAAAAATACTTAAAAACTCGCTCACGTGATTAATGGACGCCCCCTTATGCATTGTGGAAACAATATATTAACATTAAAGAATAAATTTATGAACTTGAAAATATACATCACAAAAAAATATTTATATGAATTAGGGATCTTTCAAATATTACGTAAGCAGATTTATTACAATTATTTACCCCCCCATCCCCCTTGTCAGCAAAAGTAAGCAAAGCTCTTACCCCCTACCCCCATGCTTACGTAAACATTTTGCAATTAATGTAAAAAAATAAAAATACTACCTATGACGTAATCATCATCCAGATTCCCCTGCCCCCCATGTCAACCAAAATACGCAAATCAAAAACCCCCCCGCCCCCCTTAGTGCTTACGTAATACTTGAACGGCCCCTTATATATTTCATATCTATTTAAAACAGTGATTTCCAACCTGTGGGGCGCGCCCTCCTGGGGGGCGCAAAGCTGTTTCAAAAATATTATTTTTAAATGCTGAGTAAGTGTCAGAAACAAATCAGCAAAATACTTAAAGTACTTCTAAGAATGTTTAAGCTCAAAAAATAAATTGCTATATTTCTTGCTGATAACAAAAGAGACGGAGCAATCTTGTTTTAGGACACAAAATTATTCGCAAAATTTGCGTATTTAGTTGATATTTTTCAAAGACTTAGCGATTTAAATAAATCAATGCAAGGATCTCAAATTCGTGCTTTTGTTCAGAAAGACAAGATTACGGCTTTTATGAAAAAAATAGAACTGTGTATAGCTAGTATCAAATAATTTTATAACTTTAACATATTTCCCACTTTTAAAATTACTTGTGTTACTGATGAAATAGAAGTAAGTAAAGATCTTATTATTATATCAGTCATATGACTAGTCTAAGAAACCAATTTTCGCATTACTTTATCTAATTACGTCCAAATACGAATGGATTAGAAATCCATTTGTCATTGAGAAACATGATGATTTTGGTCATTCAACAGCAGAGCAGAAAATTATAATTGATTTATCTAGTGATAGCACATTGAAGCAGATGTTTCAGGACGAAAATATATTGTTGAGTTTTGGTTACCAGTAAAGGACGATTTTCCTACTTTGACAAATAATGCTTTAGAAATTTTATTACCATTTGTGAAATCTTACTTATGTGAAACAGAAAATTCTTATAATAAATAGTTATGTTTGTATGTATATTTTTTATAATACTGTGTATTATTTGGCATAATTTCAGTTATATTAAGTATATTTAAATTAAATTGTTAGAAAAATAAGAAGGGGGGGAGGCGTAATATTTTTTTCATTCGACAGGGGGGCGCAAGGAAGAAAAGGTTGGAAACCGCTGATTTAAAAGAATGTTATTTTACCTCTGGTGGTTCAAAATTGTTCTTCTCAGCATTTGAATTTTCCTCTTCGCCAGTAAATGGTTCCTCTTTAATAAAACTCTGAAATGGAAGAGCACATTTAATATCCAAAATTATCTTAAAAACCACATCAACACAAAGTTTATCACTTACAACATCAATTAGATTATCAGTTGGATTTTGCTGCCTGATGAGGGAATTCTTTAATTTATTTTGAGCTTCATCACAAACACTTTTAAATACCGTCCAACTTTTGACCTTTTCCAGACAGACATTGCATATCAGCTTTGTAAATGCATCTTCTTCATTAATCTAGAGAAGATATACATGGTTTTATTGATAAATAAAAACAAGAATGTGTCAATATACTGAAATTGAAAAGTAATCTTCCACATCACTGCTTTGATGTTGAAACATGTCATTAAGAGAGAACAAAAATGGCTGACCACCATTGATTACAGGAGTATTGGTCAATATCATCAAGAATAACCTATAAACTATAGGTGGTAAAACGTTGATTTATTACCTGTATGGACAAACAGGCTTTGATTTCACTAGCAAGATTGTTTCTTCCTTCAATAGGTTCGGCATTGGCACAAAAAATCGGCACAATATCGCCATCACCAGCTCCTAAACACAAACGGCAAACGTTCTCATATTCTGATGCCATGATAAAGCAGTAACTGTACTTGGAATCACATCACATCACTTCCACTTTCACTGATCACACGAAATTAGGGAAATTCGGCATTATGATATGATTTTTTTAAGGATTCAATTAAAGATTGAGGGAAAGACGCCACAGTGGGATTTGGGTCGCTGGTCACAACTACTAAAAGCCGACCAATATATTCTCTACACACGTAGACGTAGAGCGGCAAGCTAATGCTGACCGAGTTGGGAAGAGGGAGAAGGGGAAACGAGAAGTGGTTAGGTAGAGAACTGCGTGCGCGCTGCGACAGACAAAGACGGAGCGACGACTACTCGTGCTGATGCGGACGATATGCCCGACGCCTCGCTTTTTTCCTCTCGCTCTTTCCGCGCAGTTGATCCGTTGGAACGAGCAGTTGATCTGCCCTGCCCGGACGAAAATGCGATTTGATCATCATCCTTTTGGAAGGATTCGACACGAACACGAAATTGATTACTATCTACGAAGGACATTATGAACTATTGCCGCCATAAGGATAACTAGGTCTTACGAACGTTTGGATTTATCAATCAAATTCCCGAATGTCCATCGACGTGTTTCGTTTCGTGCCAATACTATTTTAAATTTAATTGACATGACTGACAAAATAATGTTTGAGCGTTTGAGCGCATACAAGAGCAGGACAAAAATATATCCTACTACCTACTATCTTATATATATACAGCAGGTGAAAAGTTGTAATTGAATTTTCTTCATCAAATAATAAAGGAATATTCATTCATAAACCAAATATGAATTGCACCAGAAAGAATTGAATACAATAATATACCATTCAGTGCTGGATTTACAGTAGGGGCAATCGGGGCTACTGCCCAGGGCGGCAAATTTTGGGGGGCGGCAAAATTTGGATAGCGAGAAAAAAATTCTATACAATATAATTAACTTTTTTTTAACAAACATTTTTTATTTCAAGAAATATAATTATCAAAACATAATACGATTGCAATGCAAAATTTGGATTGAAATAACCGATAACTAAAATTTATTATTTTGCCTTGCCTCCCTATCCGAACGTAAATTATCAAATTGGTTCACTAGTTATTAAATTTGGCAATTTGGCTAATATAAGATCGGTAAACAAGCTGAAAGTTTAAGAAAAATATGTTCTTCAGTTCTCGAGCCCCCTTAATATGACGAATTTCTGCTGCACTTCCAAGCTTATAGCGTTTTTGCAAAGCAATCGCGCTGCGCAGCTGTTTCAGAGAAGAAATATCGAAACTCAATTACCATTTTTCGTAATTGCCTGTACCAAATATCAGCACGTCTCCCCATCAATACAAATCTAATATTTTTTAATTATTCAAGTCGATTTCGAGAACACAAATCAACCGATTTAAATGATTCCATTCCTATTGATAAGGAGACGTGCTGATTAGTTATTGGCCAAGGTAGGTCCAACTGTTTTGAAGATACAGGCCAAAATGCCAAAAATGATAATTCAGTTTTTGATAAAAAAGCGTCCAATACCATTTAAAAAAATTTACAGAATAAATAACTGCTTAAATTTGAGGGGGGCAGAATTAGCGGTTTCGATGATCCAATAAAAAAAATTTGAAAAAGAAACATTTGGCGAACAAAGGTGATCATAAGACATATGTTTCTGTTTTTACGTTTACGTTTACGCGGCGCTTACGCGCTTCTATATTTTGTATAGCTAAAGTAGCGCGATTGTTTTAAAAAAAGTTCGAAAGTTCGTAAAATTTCAGGGATGGGGCGGCATTTTGGTCAGTGTCCCGGGCGCCAAATTTATAAATCCGGCGTAGTACATGTGCTTGTACATGCAATATGGTCCATATTGCATGTACAAGCACATGTACTACGCTTATTAATATGGATAATACTAATTGCAGATGATCACCTGTGCTATTTTGGGTTTTAGTAAGGAGACCATATTTTTTTATTTTATTAAGCCTGGTAGCCATGGCCTCTCTTAGTTATGCACGAGTTAGTCATTTGGGGGGGGGGGGTTGTTTGGTTTTGTGCCAAATATTTTAAATACGATTCAAAGCAAGTGGTGCATAGAATCGTGCCTTAAGGCAAATTCCTGAAACTCAAAAATTAAAATTTTCAAAAAGCCTTAAATTTTTTTGAAAACATTGAAATAGATTTTTGAGAGTTATGATATTTTTGACAATATTTGTTTTTTGAAAAAAACTGATCTTTATATCTTAAAATTTTTTTGAAAATTCTTAACTTTTTTCAATATATAGAGCAATCGCGCTGCATAACTGTTTTAGAGATGAAATATCGAAGCGCTTAAGCGCCACATTGCAGAGGAGAGAAAGATTTGTACGGAATTCCGTTTTATGGGTTAACCCATAGAAACGTTAACGAAATATATATGCCTATTATTAAAATCTCTATAAAATACCTGATATTTAAATGTGCATATACATGATCATTCAAATCGGATGCTCTGTTCTTTTAAAAACTGAATTACAATTTTTGGAACTTTTCGCCCCGTATCTTTGAAGGCTGTACCTGCCTTGGCCAAAAACTAATCAGCACATTATTTCATCAATACGAATCGAATGTTTATTAAATTATTCCAGTTAGTTTTTCCGTGTTTCCAAAATCCTTGACAAAAATTTATATCCAAACACACACACATATACATCATTTTTTTCTAAAGTATGCCAAAATGTTCAGAAACCTCTGAAGACGAAGTTAACAAATAAACAAATTAAGGATACAATAAACTGTTTTTTCCAATGTATCTTTTTTAAAATACAAAATATTAACTTTTAGTAACAACTTCATTTTTCAATTATGATTATATTATAATATACTTAGCCAAAAAGTTCAGTTTTATCATTTTCACTGTTTTCGTAAAATTGAAAATAAAAGTACGAAATTATTAATGTGAGAGGCTATTTTAACCCGCCTTCAGAATTTTGGATTCGGAAATTTTCTCGTTAATAATCTATTGTTTCATGTAAACATACGAATAATTGGAGAAATATTCATTTAATTCAATAAATATATGAGTATTGAATTGGAGAAATAGTCATTCATAAAAAAATATTGAATAGCACCTGAATGATATCAACTAAATGCGGTGATTCAATTTAAACGTATACTTTTGGAAAACCTGGTACAATCTGGGACAAAAGATCTAAATATTGCCGGAATAAATATTGCTTTCAGAAAAACCCAGGACACCAAAGGGAAATCCGGACTGACCCGGCCAAATCGAGACGTTTGGTCACTTTAGTTTTAGAAAACCAGTAACGATTTGACTTAAAACCATTATTAAAACCTTGTCATGTTATCATTATTTGAATTTTTAAAATTAAATGAAACTCTTGCTTCGATGAGAAGGCATTTATCCCAAGGTAGAATAGAGATCTACTAATCTAATTTGCATAAAGTGTCTAAAGAAGACTCTACATAGTTAATAAATTTTCTACAAAGCCTTCAATAATTTATTTTTGTTTGTCAATTTGGGCTGGTGTCATTCTTGGAAAAAATTGATGGAAGTCAGTGGAACTTTTTGTTTAGGGGCGTAGCCATGGCGCAGCTACCGCCAGATCAATTATAAGAAACCTCGACTTTTGTAACCAAAAATGAATTAAAACTTACTGTTATTTCTATTTCACAAATGACCAATTAAAACGGGCAATTTCTTGAAAAGTGCTTTCAAAAGTAACTTTAGAAAAACTAAAGTCAGCATCAGCTATAGTGATTTAATAAATCAGTTTGGCGACAAGGAGCAAGGAGAATGTATTTGAATTTGAATTTGTGAAATTTTTGGAAAAAAACTGATGGATAGATAATTGTGATGAATAAAGATTCTTCTAATTCTATGCATTTTTTGCATAAATCTTTACGCCTCCTTTTTTGCATAAATCTTTACGCCTCCTAAGGACAAGGAGAATGTATATTGAATTTGAATTTGTGAAAATTTTGGAAAAACTGATGGATAGATAATTGTGATGAATAAAGAATTCTTCTAATTCTATGCATTTTTTTGCATAAATCTTTACGCCTCCTAAGGATCCTAAAAATATTATTATACAGAGTCCCACCAAGGCATGCTACGATTATTGTTTTGTTATAAACATATGACATCGGATTATTGTAATAATTGAGAGTGAATAATCGATCATAAATTGTATTAGTATCCTAATGCTATTAGGTGAAATTTCTAGAAATTAGTTTATTAATTTAATTGCTTGGCGTCCTGTTGCACCTGCAGATTTTTGCATTGTGAGTATTGCTGTTTTTTTTCTCTTTATACATATTTTAGGAAGTAAATTAAAATAATTTACTCCCTAAAATATGTCGTTTGGGTCGAAAAAATTGAATGTCATTATATAGATAATCCATCATTATCAGTTGTCTATTTCAATATTTAAAAGGTTTATGATAACTTTTATCGCAATTTTTATTACACAGTATTAATTAATAGGGTAATTTGGCATGTGCCGATGCCTAAATTAGAGAATTAATTATAATCCATACCTTTATGATCAAATCTCTTCTTTTATTTTAAATCTTTTATTTCGTAAATTATTATTTTTGTTGTTATTTACATAATCACTTCAACGCCATGTGTTGTGGTTAACGGAGGCAGGTGGTATTTGGTAAAAGTTAGGTGCTGACCTTGATGTGATGCGTTTATTAAATTCAACAAATCCAAAAGATAATTCAATAAAATGCGAAATAAAAAACTAAAAAATCTATTGTTATGTATAGGTTAGACATCGAATTTGAAAAATTTAAGGTTATTGGATGGTATTGATTAATCGTTAATATAGTAAGTCGGATCACTCTAAAACTTTAATATCAGTAAAATTATTATAATTTTTTATATGTATTATTATTAACTTGCCTTAAGGTAAATTATAGTAAAAAATGAAATCATTTGCATATCTTTAAGTTTCAGAGGTTCTGAACATTTTGGCATACTTTAGAAAAAATAGATGTACGTGAGTGTGTTTTTTGTATATCAAAGGAAATGTCTTTACGCATCCCAGAATATGTTTGTATGTATGTTTGTATGTGCGGATATAATCTTATGCCGACGTTTTCGAGAGCACAGATCAATCGAGTAGAATCATTAAAAAAAATTGATTCCTATTGATAGGGAGACGTGCTGATTCATTTTGCGCAAATATGGGTCTAGCCGTTGCAGAAATACTGGGCAAAATAGTCTTTCAGTTTTTGAGAGAACAGAGCATTTCTCCACGTTTTGAAGGTTTCTGAACATTTTGGCATACTTCAGAAAAAATTGATGCGTGTGTGTATGAATGTATGTATGGATACATTTTTTGTTCTACGTTCTCGGGCGCATGGATCAATCGATTTGAATGGTTCAAAAACATTCGATTTATATTGATAGGGAGATGTGCTGATATAGTTTTTGGCAAACGCAGGTCCTGCCGTTACGGAGATACGGAGCAAAGAGTGCAGAAAATAAAAATCGAGTTTTTGAGAGAACGGATCATCCGATTTGAATGATCCAAAAAGCATTCAATTCGTAATGACGGGTAGAATTGGTGATTAGTTTTTGGCAAAGGCAGGTTCAGCCGTTTTGCGAGATACCGAGCAAAATATAGCAGTTTTTGAGAAAACTAAGCATCCGATTGATTCAAAAAACTTTTTGCTTGTATTGACGAAGCTATTGCTTTCAGGAATTTTTTTTTTTATTTTAAAAAATTTAAAATTTAGGAAAATGAATATTTTTATATACCTTTACATTTCAAAGGTTTTTGAACATTTTGGCATACCTTAGGAAAAATGAATGTATGTGTGTGTGTATGTGCATGTGTATGTGTGTGTGCGTGTGTGTTTGTGCGGATACAAATTTTCGACGACGAGATTTCAGGAACACCGATCAACCAATTTGAATAATTAAAAAAACATTCGATTCGTTTTGATAAGGAGACGTGCTAATTAATTTTTGGCCAAGGCAGGTCTAGCCGTTCCGAAGATACGGGGCAAAAAGTGCCAAAATCGGTAACTCAGTTTTTAAGAGAACAGAGCGCCCGATATTAATAATTCAAAAAACAATTTTACTTGTATTGTCAAGATGAAGCTTTGATTCAATTTGGAAGGAAGGCAGATCCAGCGGATATGGACTCTCAATAAAAATAAGTTAAAAAATGTCGGTTCAAAAATGTTTATTGGTCATATATACATCAAATTATCAGATGTTTTATAGAGATTTTAATAATGTATACACATTTTGTGTAATTTTTTTGGGTTCTGCACCAAGATTTTTATTACGGTACGGGAAGTTCCAGCATTTTCCACTAGTAATAGGTTTTGTTTATCAGAACTAATATGTCCATGCATTTTTGTTATCTTTTTGAAATAATTATCGACGCAATATATTATGACAATGAAATCATAGTAAATATTTTGTATGCATTCTATTTATTTTATTTACAAAACATTTCCCAAACATTGAAATTTGAATAACAAACAATTGCCGCGCCTCCATCATGATTTGTGCGAAATCATTGCGCGGACGTTGGCAATATAATTTTGTTTTCATATTGGTATGGATGTGCTAAGGAAAGTATGGGTTGGAATTCTATCGAAGGCATTTTGATATTTGTGCAAAAATGTTCAAAATGATGTGATTCTAATCGTAATTAAGCTTTTGTTTTAAATGGTGTGATTAATTGTTATTTTGTCAGGCCTCAGGTGCGGTTGAAAATTGAGACAAAGTCGCAATATTGTCGACTCATTAAATTGGAACACAGACGTCATTGTCAAAAGGTACGTAATAAGTAGATAATCTTTAACAAATTATATTATAGTAGTATTATGTATGCATTCTATAGTATTTTTACATATATTTATATATACAATTGTATAAGCTTAAACAATATTATGATTGTCATGGCATGTCAAAATCTTCTATCGGACTCAATGTTTTTCTTTTATTTTTGTTTGACATTCAAATGATTATTAAAAATTTATCTTCAAGGAATATTTGTTGGGAAGATTTGTTTCATACATTCTTTAAAAAGTTTCCCAAGAAAAGTGCTTTTGTGATATTTTCATTTGGCATATCACTAATACTAAAAAATATAGGCAAGGACGTAGTCTATAGATCTTAAAATATAAAATGTTTGTTTAAAATTATAAAAAACTTTTATTAAGTTTCAAGTATCATAATTATTTTTTAAATCTTTTATCACTTATTTGTTGATAAAATATATCCTTTACAGTATGGCAGTCAAACAGCACGTTAATGAGGTGGACGAGCGCTCTGAAGTGCAGCCTGTAGATCTGGAGCAAATAATACAGACTATAAAACTTATCCGACAAAACCGAAGTCATTTGCTTGTTGGATCTAATCTTGTCAACTTATTTGAAACCATAGTACACTGCTTAGCTCATGTGCACAACCCAAGGGAAACTGGGTTATCAAGATTTCTAGAAAATGTCAATCTAGTTCGTGATTTCTTTAAGAAACCTGTGACAATTTGCCAAATACTTTAAAAGAACAAGTTGTATCAGCTTGTCTCAAGAAGTTTATCTCGTTTTATCAAAAGCAGGTATATATTAATTGTTTAGTCTTATATGATTACTTCATAATTCTCATAAACCGTTTTTTTTGATTAGATTCTAGCGAACCATGTGCAGCAGTGTCTAATATTTAACATTTAGAACCGAACATTGTGCCTGGAGCTGTATCTTGGCTTTTGAGAGAAAATCCTGGGGATGATGAAACATTATTAAGAATATTACGCAGATTGTTTATGTGGCTCCGGTATTGTAATTACACACCATGTTTGACCGAGTGGACCATTACATTTATGAAGGGGTTGCAGGTATATTTGTTACTTTACAGATTGTTTTATATTAGGTAATATTTTACTTATATCTTATGTTTGTAACAGGAAGAAGGCAGATGGGATTTATGCTTGCAGCCAGCAGTTTTGGTTATATAAAATTTATTGGCAGGGCTGGCCATGCCATTGTTTAGATCAACCATAGCACCAGTTGTTGAGCACATGCTCACAACTGTTTTGCATACGCCACTTTTGCTTCAAAAGGTACAATTTAGTTTTTATCCTTTGATGAAATTTAATTTAATTGCTGTTTTAATATAATGTTGAACTTAGGTTTGCCACGATTAATGGTAGTGTTAAATCAATTATCTCGAGAAGATTCAATTAGTGCCAATTGACCAGGCAAAGATTGATTGATATAATAACAGCTTTATTAGAAGTATTTCCAAATGAAATTGAAGGCCATAAGGATGTTGTAAGTATTCTTCTTCAGGAATATGTTTGGCACAATAATATAAAATTTGATTTTTAGGTGAATTTTGTACATAATGTTGGCCCTTCCGCTGATTATAGAAGGGTCTTAAAATGCAATGCATCTATGAGTATTGTAAGAATGTCCACACCCGGTTCAAGCAAAGTTGGATTGAATAACTTAGGAAATACTTGTTACATGAATAGTGTTCTTCAATCATTATTTATGACCAGACAGTATGTATATTGTAAAAGTATAATAATATGAAAAATTATTAATTGTGCTATCTTTTTTTTAGATTTTACAAGCAAGTTATCTTATCGAGTGGTGGTAAACGTGGGATTGTAATGAAGCAATTGGCTCATTTATTTGCTTTATTAAGTTACTCAAATCGTCCTTAAGTATTTCCAAATGAAATTGAAGGCCATAAGGATGTTGTAAGTATTACTTCTTCTTCAGGAATATGTTTTGGCACAATAATATAAAATTTGATTTTAGGTGAATTTTGTACATAATGTTGGCCCTTCCGCTGATTATAGAAGGGTCTTAAAATGCAATGCATCTATGAGTATTGTAAGAATGTCCACACCCGGTTCAAGCAAAGTTGGATTGAATAACTTAGGAAATACTTGTTACATGAATAGTGTTCTTCAATCATTATTTATGACCAGACAGTATGTATATTGTAAAAGTATAATAAATATGAAAAATTATTAATTGTGCTATCTTTTTTTTAGATTTTACAAGCAAGTTATCTTATCGAGTGGTGGTAAACGTGGGATTGTAATGAAGCAATTGGCTCATTTATTTGCTTTATTAAGTTACTCAAATCGTCCTTATATTTCACCCAAAGACATATTGCAGATAGCCAGACCGCCTGGGTTTACGCCAGGCCAATACCATGACAGCTCTGAATTTCTTGTGTTAGTCATTACTTAATTATCTTGAAAGTAGATGTATTTGTTTTTAATTTTTCAATTATTTACAGATATTTATTAGATACATTGCATGAGCAAGAAACACAGTTGAACAGAACTCTTGGCACAGAAGCGAAAGTAGCTAACACAGGTAAATATTTCTTTTTTTCATTAATATTTTAGTGTATTCTTATATACTCTAATTTCAATCAAATTAGAATAAGCCTAAATTTGTTATTACCATCATTCATTTGTATAATTCATAGTGCATTTTATCTAATATTTTATTTAAGCAAAAAAAAATCTGAATCAGCAAAAGCAATTTACTTTAACTCTGGAAGAAAAATGTATCAAGCTATTAGTTTATAAAACACACCCAAATACCATTTTATTTACTGTTAGAAAATTTATGATTTTTTTCCTCATGATTTATATTATGTTTCTTTTTCATGTTGATGCACTAAAGTTAATACTTGTGGCAAATTTTCACAAAAAAACATAAATAAAGAAGATTTCGGTTGAACAACTGGCCTTATTCTAAACTAAATCACTCGAGTTCCATGAGATTTTCAAATAATAATGGTATTTTATTTTTGTTTCTTAGTTTTATTTTGACAAGTTTATTTATTTATAGTTTGTAATTAATATGATTGAGGAATAATTCTTATATATTTTGAACATTTATATACATACTTAAGTAACTGCTCTAAAAAAAGTGTTTTTTTTATGTTTTGCAGATGATGGTAAATTTTCAAAGTAATAGTGATGTTTACTAAAAGCAAACTGCCTGGAACTTCTAAAAACAGTAATGAGTATATGGAGACTGATGATAAATTTTCTAGTGATAAATAATTCTTAAGAGCAGTAGCAGTAACATTGAAATAGGTAAGTTATTAGTTTTATCAATTCTTATAAGCTTTTTTTTATAAATGGTTCTCTAATAGTGCTTTCAATATAGCGTAACCACAATCGTGTGCTGAATCGCTCATATTTTAGGCAATTATTTCCATAGGTACATACAATACTTTGAAAACGCCATTCATTTGTTTCAGCACTGTGGATTTTGTTTTTTTAAGCTTATGAAATAATTAAGGCTTTTAGCTTTAGTTATACCCTTTATTAGCTCTCTCTGTTTTAACACAGTATATATCTATTATGTGTTAGGCTCGTCCATGCTCGCCATTCTCAAGAAACATTGCTGTTTTATTTAGTAAGATGGATATAAATGTATAGTCGGGTGGAAACAAGTGGGCCACGTTATTATTTTTAGTTGTAAAATGGTTAAAAATGAAAATATTTTCGTAATTTTTTTCTTTATTTGCAAGGGTATTCCAAAACGCAACTTTTTATCATAGCAAATGCTTGTAATTTAGTTTGGAAGTATCTCTTTATTTGCATGGCAAAAAAAGTGTGTGGAAAATCATTTTACAACTGATGAAATTGTTCAAATTTCCGTTTCTCATTAACATAGTCTTGGGAAATCTCAAACATACATATTATAACCGTTTTGGACTGTCTTATTGTTTTGAAGAACATTGTAGAACAATAAATCAACAATTTGAAACAGATTTTGCAATTTGAATGTGTAGTTGTTGTATCATCATCGTACGCCGCTAAGTTGCCGAACAATGCTAAATTCCAAAACTTGGAATTTGTGCATATATTATCTCTTCTATTTTAAAAACCCTGTGCACAATGTTTTTTTAATGCAGGGTACCTATTTAATGTTGATGTATGATCAGTATTGAGTGATAAGTAGTACCCTTACAAACTTGCGATTGGCACTTACAGTTCAAATTTTCTATTTCATTCAGATATGGATTCAAAACCGGACAAACCCTTATTCAACACAGACTGCAAAACAATCACTCAAACTTGCTTCAACGGAGAAATGCTGACTTGTTACGAATGCATGGCTTGCCGCTCACGAAGCAACAACCATGATACATTTAGAGACTTACAATTAGCTTTTCCGGACAACAACACGACATCTGGTGAAAAATCGTACTCGGTGCAATGGCTACTTGATTATTATCTGTCGAAGGAAAAATTACAAGGTGCGAATAAATATTCTTGTGGACAATGTAAAACGTTGTGCGATGCCGAACGGTCTATCACCATTTTGGGCGCACCACAAAATTTGATTTTAACTCTGAAGCACTTCAGGTATGATGCTGTTCAGCATGAAAGGAAGAAGTTATCTCACAAAATACATCATAATGAAAAAGTGCATTTGGTTGTTATGTCAAACAAACAGCCTGTGAAAGTTTTTTATATGTTATATTGCTGCAGTGGTTCACGATGGTGTTAACATGGACAGTGGACATTATTACACTTATGCTATGGATAAACATAAACATTGGTATAAGTTTAATGATAGTGTGGTAAGCAATGCATCGTTTAAAGATTTGGACGAAATGAACCCTTACAATACTCCATACATATTATTTTATAAAATAATTGGCACGCAAAGTATTTCGGCGCAAGAGCTTAAACAAAACGGTGTTGACAGTCCCAAGAAGATAAGATTGGGAGAAACTATGATTTATAATGGATTGAAAAATAAGGACAAAGACATGTTCAACATGAAACATTGTTCAGAAGATTGCGATATTGACTTCGAAGATTTACCTTTGGATCTCCAGGATTTGATAAGGCGTGATAATAAGCGTTTCGAGGAGGAGAATTTGTTTAATAAATCGAGTAATACAAATACTTCACTGCTTTTTGGTAAAGACAAATCGGATTCGGATAACGAAGACGACTCTCCGAGCGGTTGCAGTGGAGGATCAGGAATTACAAGTAATGCCAATCGATATATATTTTAGTACTCGTTTTTATTAAACTTAAAATTAGTTTTCAATAATCCACTGTTATTACTTTATGAATTATATATAGTTTAATTGTCTAATGATGAAATGTAATATAGAAATTTTGTATATGGTACTTATATACAGAATCATGTTCTTTTGTTTCACTATAAATACATGCAGTATTCTTTTTATTCACTTATGTGTTAAAAACATTAATTTGTGATCTTAAGTTTTGTTGTGGCACTCAGTGTTGTATTCATTTACTTAACATTTAGTTTTAGTTAGAAATTAATGATTTCCAATCAAAGACCTGAATTTATTTTATACTTAAAACGCAAATAATTTATTATATACATATAGTATATTTATGAATAAAGTTGAATATAACATTTCATTTTGCTATGTTTAATTTAACGCAATTAATTATTGCACAGCAAATTGCATATTTACTAGTTAAGGTGGAACGGGAAATGATTTGTTTTTATTGAGTGTTCCATTCATTAAGACTATTGTGAATTCTATTTGAATTTTATGATTAAATTCTGCCTGTGTTTTATTTAAAATAAAATATCCTAATTTTTTATTTCGTATTTGATATTTTTTTGCCGGAACTGCCAAACATTGCTAAGTTTTTCTGGCGGTTTTAATATTATTTTTATTAATTTCTCAAAGAAGTTTGTTTCCGCCAGAAAATTCTTCCTGCTTGTGTTGTTTTTTAGACGTTTCAAGTCATTCTGAATCGTTTGAGATCAGAATGGTAGATATGTCTGTCTGAGTACGTACGTAACTCAATATTTGACATTTTGGGCGTTTTTTAAAAAAAAAAAAAAAATTGGAAGAATTAAAAATGCCATAAGAAACTCAATAAGGTCTCTTTATCCACGACCATCGGCGGAGCCAATTATATACAATCAGCAGATATTTTCTATACACTGCATGTTCAAAGTCGAATACAATCAGCAGATAAATATGTATTTTATAAGGAAGTTTTCCAGTGTAGAGAAAGAGGAGAATTTTAGGTCATTTTTAAATCACCATAAACAAAGGCAATGAATTTTTTTTAATAATTTAATTAACAAAAGTGCAGAAAAATTGTGATAAAAAATGTTAATAATTTAAAAAATGAGCAGTTGTTGAAGTGGGGGATCACAAAAAATTGGTACATAATCGTGTCTCATTGCAACCTTCCTAGTAATCCAAAATTAAAGATTATTAATCAACAATGATGTTACAATGGCATGTACTAGGATTCAATTAAAAAAATAATTGAACAAAAGGCTACTGTTTAAAAAAAAGACCTCTTTCTTATCTCTTTTTTGAGTTTCGTTTTTAAAAATAATGAAAATTAATATTGGGAGATAAAGAAGATTCTTTGAAAATTTCAAGTGAGTCGGCCCTGTAGAACTCGAGAAATCGTGGATATCGTATTAAGAAAGACAGTTTTAAGAAAAACACGTTTAAAGTTTTGCAAAAGTAAGGAAACAGAAGAGAATTATCAGGTCAGATAGCTGTATTTTCGAAAATAATAAATTTTAAAAAATCCTGTTGCTCACATATTCTTCAAATTCAAGGTCGTGAATTAAGGTCAAGACTTCAATAGCCAAGCTTTAAAAATTAAAAAACGTTTTTTTAGAATTTTGACTTAGCATATCTCCTTAAACGATATGTATGGAAAATAGTATTGATTCGTTCATAGTGAAAGCAACAACTTTATTTTCGAAAATTCGATACTGTTGAAAATTTTATCTAAATAGGTAAATCTCAATTTCAATTCTCAATCTCAAGTTATAGTAATCGCAAAAAAAATCGAAATTAACATTTTTATATATCTTTACGTTTCAGAGGTTTCTGAACATTTTGGCATACTTTAGAAAAAATGTATGTGTGTGTGTGCGGATACAAATTCTCGTCGACAATTTCGCTAACACGCAAACCGATTTGAATAAATCAAAAAACAGTCGATTCCTAATGATAAGGAGACGCGCTGATTAGATTTTGGCAAAGGCAGGTCTAGGCGTTTCGGAGATACGAGCCAAAAAGTGCTAAAAATGGTATTTCAGTTTTTGGGATAACAGAGCGTCAGATTTAAATAATTCAAAAAATATAACTTGTAATGAATAACTGGTAAATTTTTGTGAAGGCAGGTCCAGCGTTTTCGAAAAATCAATTTTTCAAAAACGTCAAATTTTGTCAAAAATTCTCGAAAAACATTTTTTTATATTTTTTTTGGTACGGAAAGTAACAGCAATTTGCCGTAAGGCACGATGCCCTGCACCACTAGTTCAAGTCTACTATTGAACAAACCGGGAAGTTGATGCAACTTGCCTTAAGGCAAAATGCCAGTTACACCTAGTTAAATTTTTATCACTTAATCATTTTATTGTATTTATTTTACCATTGTATATTTATTTCAAACAGTTATCACAAATTTATTTACAGTCGCCATCTGCACCATCAACTTTTACTCAATAACCACTTCTCTTCAGACCACACGTGCAATTTGGTCAGTAGCAATTCATGCATCGTGCATGAAGGTTGTGTTCGTCAGTTTTCCATTTTATACGTTTTTTTTTCTTTTAATACATAAAATTAATTAAAAATATATTTTAAAGAAAAAATCATGTTTTTTGACGCAAATAATTGTACAAAAGTACAAGCAAGTGAAAATCGTACAAACTACGATGATAATGGATTTTAATTTAGAATAGACTTTACCTGGATGGATTAAAAATTTGTTTTATAGTGTCATATCAAAATACTTTTATTCCAAGCAACAGGTTCTTCTGAATTTTACACTTACAATTTTTTATAACTTGTGGACTTATTTAAAATCATGTGTTTCCAGGTTGATTTGTGACTAAATAAGATTTTTTATAATAATTATTAAGTGTTTTTGTTGGTGATTTTGTTCATGACGGATCTGCAACCATGTGGGATTTAAAATTGCTGATTTTTGTTGCTTTAACAATTGCTTTATGCGGAATTGCTGCAGGTGATAAGGATATTGAGGAAAGAGGTATGTTCACATGGATAATGTTATTCAGATTTTAAATATATATATATATATATATATATAATATAATAAAATTTACACTTTATTTAAATCCGGTCTTCATTTTCGATGCAATCTAGCAAATCAAAACTACACATATAGAACTTACATATTTTGTATTAATTATCAACTGTCCGAATTTTTAAACTAAACGAACTTTTATTTTTCTTACCTTATTCTTCCACAAATAGTTCAAAGTTTTTTTGTTATGCTTTTTTATTTTGAGTTTTTACATATTGGTCCTCGAAGTTGGCATGATGGTGCCAAATATTGCCCAAGAATGAATTAATATAATTCACCTAATTTTATAGTTATAAATGGAAATTTAGCATCAGAACAAATAAGGTTCTTTGGACTGCAATTTAACCAGAAGTACAGCCAAAGAATTATTGCCAAAGATAATATTTCTTAAGAGTACAATAAACCAGGAATCAATCATCAAATTAAATTTTGCGTTAGCTTTGATTTAGAACTATCTCCAAGTCAGAAAACTACTTTATTTATTAAATTCTCATTTTTACATAAGAATAATAAATTGGCATATTTGTTTTACAATCTTTTAACATCAACACTATAACATAACCGTTATATGAAAATTTAGAAAAAAGATAATTTATGGAATCAATTTTTACAAAAATTATTCTACCCTCCAATATCAAATATAATTTCAAAAACCAATCCTATTATTATTTATTATTCAATTTCATTCTTGAAATATGTAGTCATTTTAAAAATAATTATTAATAAATTAAAATAAATAAAACATTTTCAGGACATTATTTATTTTATATAAATTATTATCTATTTTTGAATTTTAAACGTGATTTTTTAATCTTTCAAGATCGTCAATTTTTATAGTCAAAAATAGTTAGCTTTTTGTTAGTTATGTTTTTTATACATAATTAATTCTACTGTTTGTCTTCTCCTTTTTGTGGGTTTTGCATCCCTGGATGACATATTTAAATTTTTGTCAATATTTTAATTATATCATACTTTCTGTTGCCTAAAATAATGTTTATTTATTTTATACTTATAAATTTTTATACTTATATAATCTACAGAATAGCTCCAGGTGGACTTCATATACAATTAGTAAAATATAAATATTGAATTATGTATATAAAATACGAATTCGTCAAGGAAATCTAGGAACATAATAATATTTGTCAAGGAATAAATAGGAACGGATAATTACTAAGTTATTTGTGAACAATTTATAATATTGTTGCAAAGTTTATATAAAAATGAAATACGTAAAGATGTTTAAGACGTTGAATTAATCATTGTTATCAAAACTACGTTCATGATTAGTTTTGTTTTATATAGATTTTTGGGTTCTCCATCACTGGATATTGACATAATATTGTTTTCTTACAAAATTTGAACATTAACATACTTTTGGTTGCCTATAATTATGTAACTTGATTTGGCTTTCCGGTGTTTCCCTTAGTTCAGGACTTACAATTAGATTACAATTACTAATAGTCCAGGTTCGATACCTATCTCGGGCTGTCTGATGTCAAGCAGTAGTTGTATATTTTACTTGAAAATTTAGATGGCAATGGCAATGTGCATCCTAAAATATCTTAAATATCTCTTCAAGGCATTGCTGCAATATAATAAAAAAAACAATCAATAGATTGCCTATTAATCATGTAATAATTCTAATTGCTCTAAAATAACAAACAAACCTCAATCATTTACTAATCCTATCAAAATATTTCTAAAACACCACATTCCCAATCCAATCAACTTTTATTTAGGTATGTGGTCATTCTCATCTTGGCTTACCGTATCATTTTTGCCAAAGATAAGATTATTCATATCTCAAAGACTGCGTAATATTTTATATTGCATTATTAATTAATTTACACATGATAACGATATATGATAACAATTTGCGATTCTATCTTTTGTTTAGACTTGAAATCGTCAATAAGAAATGTACACGTTCGGAAATTTCAGTACCAACACTTCGATATCGGATAATTAAAGTTAATCGAAATTAATTGATAATGAAAAGTCTAGTGAGGAATTTTCAGAAATAGAACTTTTATCTATAAGAAGAAATATTAATAATAATTGAATGAATTGTTACTAAGATACAAAAATAATCAATACAGATTGTACTAATGATGATATGTAAAAGTATCTATTGATACAAAATATTTTATATATTTATTTA